TAACTGAGCTCTACATGGTATTTCATGCTTAGAAATAGCATCTTAACAGGTCCTCTTACTGAAAAGTACTGTGTACAACTGACTAAATGGGAAATAAATAAAATGATAAAATAATATCAAAAGTGAAAGTAAGAGTTTTACTTACTGTTGAGTTATGGTAAGTCTTAAACTCTCCCACTTTTCGACAGGGAATTCCCATGCATAACTGAAATGCATTATGGGAGATTTAAGTTTGTGGTCAATGCTGGCTATAAAGCAGCTTCTTTTGAGACATTAATATAGGCGTATTCAACTAACTTGCACAGGGGGGCCACAGTTATTCAAAGCCAACAACTCAGGTGCAGGACAAGTATTATTATCCTGCACCTACTGTTTATTTTGTTGCATCCAATAAAAATTTTTAAATTTATTAAGGTGGTGTTTGGCCCGCAGGCCCTGAATTTGACACGTGCTGCAGAGGTTCATGAGACATTCTGCTAAAAAATATTTAATGGTCAAGTTTATGAATATTTAAATATATATGTAGCTTTTCCTGTATTACAGTAAATCATTTTTGGCGGAGCACCTTTTCTATGACTTTTGGTAATTACCTCATTTTTATGGAGAGTAGATGGTGACACAGGCCTAAAACATTGTGAGTGAAGAAAACTAGCATGATTGTCACTTACATAGAATATGAATATATATATTTATTCTATATTATTGCTAGAGGGGGAAAAAGCCTTTAGAAGGATCTTGCTAAATGTTAAGGAAAGACCCCCATCCCAACTCAGAGCTGCAAGTCCCACTGAAACATGACTTCATGAGTCCTGTCTGAAGTCTTCATTCAGAATGCTTCACCGTTTCAAAGCCTCTTCTTGTTAACATTAGGCAGGTTGTAAGGTATAAAGTTAAACATGAATCTTCTGCATCAGAACATCAGAGTTGTTGAAATATTGTTTTAAAGGCCATCAGGCACTGTTAAAGCAGCAGACTTTGATCATCTGAAAAGGCACGAGCTGCTCCGGTTCCTGTTGGCTCGGGACTCGCAGTTTACTGATCGATGTCATGTGACATCAGTCTGGAATGTTTGTTGAGACACGGTGACTGGAACAGTGTGCGTTTCCAGGAAATCACATGCCTATAAGACGGCTACATTTGCAACAAAACAGTGGCAGCTGGGTTATCTCACACATAACACTGGGATGCTGTTCACACATTCAAATATTATCAAGGCCAAGACGTTAGCATGTGAAGCCTTTGACTATTTATTCCACAAAACTGTTTGTTACTACCAACATGGCAACGCGCTGTTAAATATGAATATATCACTTTAATTTCTTTTGATTTTATTGTTTTTTTTGGCATTTTATTGTTAATATTGTACTTTCAGGTATCCTTGGGTGTTTTGAACGTGCACATGCGAACTCTGATCACTTTTTTTAAAGGGATGCAGTTGTTTTGCCAAATGCGTTTAATTATGCACTCCCCTTCTTCATCTGCAGAGAAAATGTTACAATGTGCAGTGAACACAAAGAACAGCCTTTCACCAATGTTTCACACCTCTTGGTCAGACTAAACAAACACTGTACGAAGTGTCTTTACGGCCTGCCTTTCATAGAAGTGGGTGTTCATTACCCGTCTGCTGCTCGTGGGTCCATTTGGTCCGTTAGCAAAATATCATAAACCAGTGAAGCAATTTTAATGAAACTCACGAAAAGTTACTAGACATACTGTACATATACAACTGATTAGCTTTTGGACTCGGTGATGGCTACCACAGCCAATAGGCCTCACAATTCACAAAAAAAATTAACATCTCGTCCATTTTACAGATACTGAGCTAGAAACCTGTGATATCATAGCAGAGTCATGTCCAATGTTTTTGCGAGAGCGAACGGATGGTGTTAGAAATGTTTTCCTGTAAACAGATCTCACATGATTTTATATATATAT